ATTATCTTTCATATTGCATCAATACAGAAAAAAAAAATGAAAATGTCAAAGATTAGTTAACACAACTGTAGAAGTTGTAGTTGCAGTGTGGTGTGAGCTACTTATAAGTAGTATATGACGTGAGTGTCAACGTAATGTCTGGAAGCAGAAGATGGGGGAAGATCAAGAAAGGAAGATTTAGAAAACAATGGAATTTGTATGAAACGCATGAATAGTGACCATAATGGATTGATGATTTGCAACAGGAACAGTCCAGTTCGAGATGATGGATTGATAGTTTGCAAATGAACAATTTACGATATGGTTTTCCGATTTTACTGAGTAACTCTGTAATTTTCGTTAAATACAATTCGATTGCCCTCACCGGTGTTCTCGTTCACTACAGGTGGTCTTACAATGACTGATACAAATAGATAATAAGAAGGTTAGTGTATTAGTAGTGTTAAGAATGGTAAAATAATACATGTCTAGGTCCAAAGTTTAATAGAGCAAATAGGTTAAACTTAGATAAATAGACTTTATAATAATAATAATCAAAAAAGTTATTGAAATTACCTAATAAAACATACATAAAAAAAAACTAACAAGTTTTATCTAGCCAAGGTAAGGATAAGAGTATCCTGAATTACTTATGAACACATAAACTATGGGTCTATTATTTCTAAGAGATAGATAGTATCGAATTGTATTCAGAAACGACGAACGTTTACAATTGGACCACTCGAAATGATTTGATTTTTTTAATCAACAATATGACCACTGTCAACCAGATGTACTGAGTGAGATAGAACAGCAGCATGGTGTCACTCGGACCTTTTCAAAATCACACAGGAAGGAATATGTTCGCCTATTCATTGGTTAAGTTGCCCTAATGCTACTCTCAATAACGCTATCATAGTAGTAGTAGCCGCTAAAATTTATAGATTCACTCACATAGAACAAGATAATTTATCTCATGTGTTGAGTAAACTATCACGCATAATCTCAGTAGTGTAAAATAATCTTTATCCATGTTATATTAGAATAAAACCTGATGATAGTCTAACTGAAAACAATACTATTTGCTTATGATATATTCTCCCGATAGTACATACTAATACAAACAAATAACAGTGTTATTCAATAATATTTTCCCTAACTTTTACATTAAATTACATTATAATTCAAATTGTTTTTTAAATTATCAAATGTGATAGATTAATCTATACACACACGCACACACACAGAAATGCGGTAGAAACTGTAAAAAACAAAAAAACAAAATGGTGTACAGGTGGAAAATTGTAACATTAAAATAGGAAATTCCTATTTGACAGCTAATGAAAAAAGTCAAATATATATATGTATATATACCTTTTCAATGTTCACAAAGTTAGACAATATGTGATGTGTGCTACTTATACGAACGATATAAGTAGTATAAGAAAGGACGTGAAAGAAGAACTCCCACGGTCACAAGAGGAAAACGTCAAGCAAATGGAGCAAAAGCAAGAAGTAAATGGAGTACCGACAGGAAGTAAAGGAAGCAATAGCAGGAATGGAAGAAGGCTGGAGCGTTGGAAATCACGACTCAAAGATGGTGGGCAAATAGAGTGTTCAATGTAATGTTTTCGTTCGTTTTTAATTGACTAAGAGTGTAAATTTGCTAAATACAATCTACCGCGCCTGTCTCAGTCTTCTCAAATATATCTCACTGAGTAGTATTGAGTACATAATGATGAAGTTATTGTAAACTTTTGTAGGCTATTCAGCCTACATTACCTAATGTAATGTGATTTAACTAACCAATGGTGAGGTAAGAAAACAATGCACACAATTCTAAATCATTTAGGCTGTGTATTATTTGAACACCTCAAATGGTACCAGGTTTTTTTTCCTGATTTATCAGTCAGTCAGTCAACTGCAACGTAGAACTACGTACGTATGTACATAAGTTCATGTTGCCATACCACATTAGCACAAAGACGCAAATGTCAAATCAAATCCCATAGTGATAAAGACAGTAGAGGTATTAATGGTAATGATGAAGACTAGGGTTTGAAGATATTATTGAAGAAGTATAATTCAGTGACTTAAGGTTAGAAAGACAAAGGTAGAGTTGTTGAAGAATCCAGAAGATTAGGATTTGAGAGAACACAAAGCGTAAATGCACCGGCGCCATTGCAAACGGTTTTGAGCCATGTCATTCAGGGTCACTAACTATCGATTACTATCATCTCGCGGACCCCAACCAGGTAGTCGACAATTACCGACATGGCTAAATCCACTCGTCAATGACTTCATAGATTTCTGTCATGTTTTGGTTTGGCCGCCCCTAACTTTCTTCCAACCTACTCCTACACCACAAAACATAGCTCGTCGAGGCAGTCGGTGATTAGGCATACGTAACACATGTCCCAGCCACCTCAACTTATGAGGTTTCACCACTTCATCTATTGATCTGCCATCCTTACCTAGTACTCGTTTCCTAACGACAACATTGCTTACTCGGTTGTCCCACGATATACGAGCAATGCTTCTTAAACATCTATGATCGAATACTAGTAACCTATGAACATCTTCTACTCTTAACGGCCATGTTTCTCATGCGTATAGTAGTACGGAGCGAACTGCTGCACAGTACACCCGTCCTTTGGTTAGCGAACGGATATCACGCCTACGGCATAAGTGACGCAGTTTGGCAAAAGCTAATCGAGCTTTCCGTTTTAGCGCTGCGATTTCTTTTCTGATTTATAGATACATCTATCATTTGTCATGTATTAACTAACCTAAAAATATAAGTTCAGAGTTTCCTATAAACCATCTAACACTATCCAAAATGTTAAAATATTTTAGGCAAACCAAATTGACTGTGGTTGGTTAGCTTCATGCATATTCCTAGTATTTTATAACTAGAAAGCTATATATTATAATTTCTATATATACTTGAATGCATTGATAGTTCATAATATTTTCTTTACAACATATTTGTAGGGGATGTTAGATCCCCAGAACTCGCTTGATGAATAATAATGCCTTATTTTGGTTTTCACGTTTGTCAGCATGGGCTGAGATCAGTTAACATTGAGATTTCATTTCCCACCTGCAAAAGCCATGGCTGTGATTGGCTGCTGTGTATTTTAGTGTGCTATTTTTGTGACTGTCCTAATGACTTTTCCATGATGTATAAATAAACGAGAGTTGTGTGCTTGATTGTATTGTATTGTGATTGCTGGTTGTTTGTAGAATATACTTTCTAAGCTTACAAAGCCTTTTTTTCTTCAGCTTGGGATTCAAGGTAGCCTATCTGGATGCTGGTGCATTGTCTCGTTCGCGTTTATCGACTAAGGTAAACTCGTAATAGCCTCAAGCATACTTAGGGACGAACATAGCAAACAATATGCACTATTCATACATTCGAGATAGAACTACAGCATAACAATCTATCAAGTATCATCTTTTAACATACAATGTAACAGTGTAACGATCTCTGTTTTTTTCTAAGTATACTTGAAGGATTGGATAAAAACAGCTGGACAAATCTGAAGTTAACTATCACAGTTAACTATCATTCAAGTAATGCGTTATATCCAACACTTTTGATCACTTTTCTGTTCATATTTAGTTAGTGAATATTAATTACATAGTCCAATGTAATTCTTCACAAAGTCTGGAGTTATTTACACACAACTGTATGCTATGTGACGTATTGATTTACTGTAGACCAACGTATGTAATTGTTTACTTACATCTGTTACGCACAGCAATCAACAACCTAATCTATTCTGGGATGCCTAAAATAGTCAATGAAAAACTTTAATTTAGTGAATTTTTTTAGGGTTGAATATGAAATCTCGAAGAATTAATTACATTTTAACATGCAACACTCATCTGTTTAATAGACCAAAAAAAAAATACTCAAAAGTGTTAGATTTAACAAATTACTTTAACAGTGAAAACAGCATTATAGTAGCTTAAATCCAGAAGATTCAAGTATTTATTAACAATTGTCTAAAGTGAAATACTCCAGATTTATTGGTTGGCCAGACACTAACAGCAACAACCTACCTCGGGAGAGAAAATTATCAAATTCTAGTGGAGGATGGTGAAATCAGGAAGAAGACTTCGAAGCGGATAGGACTGAATATTGAGGAAAGCAACTAACTGCGTCACAAGACAAGCCCTCACCTGGAATCTTCAAGCGTAGCGGAAAAGAGGAAAACTTAACGACACATTACACTGGAGACATTACTGGAGACAGAGACATGAGAAAAATGAACAGGAGTTGAGTAGAACTGGAAAAGGAAGGCCCAGGACAGAGTGGATTGGAAATTACTAGTTGACGGCCTATGTTGGATGAGGGGTAACAGAAGCAAGTAAGTAAGTAATTAATTAAGTTAGTAAATCTCTGAGGCATTACTTTTTTGTCAACCTACTACTCAGAGAAAAAAACACACCATCATCATACAAATGGATTATCTAGATGATTCAAGTATGTATTAACAATTGTCTAAAGTGAAATACTCCGTATTCGTTGGCCAGACACTATCAGCAAAAACTTACTGTGGGATTGAACAAACCAGATTCTAGTGGAGGAAGAAATCAAAAAGAAGAGATGGAAATGGATAGGATGTACACTAAGGAAAGCATCACAAGACAAGCCCTCACCTGGAATCTTCAAGGCCGACGAAAAAGAGGAAGGCCAAAGAACACATTACGCCGTGAAATGGAGACAGACATAAGAAGAAGTTGAGTAGAACTGGAAAGAAACGCCCAGGATAGATTGGATTGGAAAATACAAGTTGGCAGTCTATGCTGGATGAGGGGTAACAGAAGCAAGTAAGTAAGTAAGTAAATCTCTGAGGAATTATTTTTTTTATCACCTACTAGTCAGAAAAAGAACATACCATCATCATACAAATGGATTATCTACTCTAAGAAATATGAAATAAAAAAATTTAAATAGACCAAAGAAAATAACAGATTTATATACACGCAAATAGATAAATTTAAAAACTCACCTTCTTCATTCAATAATGAATAATCCTCATCTACATTCATGTTGATCATATTATGATTATTTTCAATATTTTGGCATAATTTCTCAAAAACATATTGTTCACGATCAATACGTCCTCTGGTCATTAATTGATCATGATTAACAATTTGAAAATGTTGATTTTCATTTAATATATTCAATGTAAATGAAGAATTTTGTGATGCATTTTTATCATTCATTGGTACATAATTTTCATAGAGAAATTTTAAATCACATACAAATGTACTGATGAGAATTTCTTCAACAATAACACACTTATTACTAATATTATTTCTATTTTTATGCGCATCTCGATTTTGATTGTCATTTGTTCGACTCGCAATATGATAAGTTTTTTCAGTTGTTATCATTGAAAAATGTATAAGACTAATGAAGAAAACTGCTTGGAATGTATTGAACATTGAAATCAATATTGACAAATGATTATTGAACATTGAACATGGAATGTATAGCTAGCTGTTTTGTAGGGATGTTGGTGTGTCTGCTTTGTTTTGTTTCTGTTTTTTGTGTTTTTTTCAAACTTGATACCGGAAATGTAAATATTTAAAAATGAGATAAAGTGGTAGTATTCATAAAAAAATTTTTAAGAAAGGAAAATAAAAACGATTTCATGTTTTTTTCACATTGATTTAATGTTGTAGAGTGTAGAGTGTATGTACTCAAAACTGAAGTAGATTTTCTCCTATATATATACATATAAAAAGAATTAATGTAATTTGCTTTTAAAACAATTTCTAATCATAAATGAAATTACAAATTATCCATCCAGTCAGCAGCATTCACTGTCCTAGTTATTACTTGTTACTCGTTGAAAAAAAAGACACACACACCAATGCATGAACGTGTGAGTGTATACATACATACACACCAGTTCAGGAAATCAGCAATACAAATTAGTTGACTTAACTTGTTTTTACTAGTTGACTCACAATAACTAAACTGCCTAGTGATCAAAAAACAAATTTTTCAATTGACTTCTGATGATGATGATGATGACGTGATGAGATAATGATTATTATTGTGTTGTATAGTTAGTTAATAATTACCTACCTACCTACCTACCTACCCGAACACACGTACAAATGTGTGAATAGTGAAATTTATTCACAGACGAGTATTAAAATGTATGTATCTGTGTGTGTGTGTGCAGTGCGCGTTTACCTTTCGTCATATCCACCATTAGGGGGGCACAATGTACGTGTGTTATACACACATACCTTACAGAACTAACTAACTAACTCACACTATAACATCACAACACAACACAAATATGCATACATTCTACAATATAATGTACGGGCATTCCAAAAAGAGAAAAAAATGCTACAGACTAATTTCCCAAATTATTTCTAATGCCATTTTTTTTTAAAAAAACAATACTCTCACTTTACAGAAACAGGAAAAAACAACCAACCACCATTGATTTATTGTAGATATATTTTTGGCTAGTGAGCATTCATTGTCTGTGTTCATCATTATTATCAACGTTTTGCTTGCATAAAAGTGAGAGAGAGAGATAGGAGGGAATAATGAGACAAAAATAAATTGTTCTATTACTACTATGATGGTGAGGTTATATATACGGGTGGTAAATAGGAGCTTTAATCAAATGACTTGTGTCCATGTTACTTACTTACTTACTAGTTGATTGGTGGACAAAAAATAAACAATTGTCAATTCGGGTTAACCTATCAGGTTAATCTATGATGAGTGAATTACAAATTAATCAAAATGTGTTATCACAATAAATCTGATGCATAGAAAAAAATCACATTTACTCATAAATACACTAAGTGATTATTATTGATTAGTAGTGCCCTGTGATTCATTCTCGGCGAGACTACAATTTCTGGATGAGCCAATCAGAGTCGAGTAAGCTAACATTCAAGGTCATGGCTCAGTCATGGTCAGCATATAGAGGATTTTAAATAGAGAATGTCATACATAGTCGGGCGACTACAATAAATGGATTTTGTTGAATGTAGTGTCTTCAGATGACTGCAAAACAGTGTACACATTACCACAATGAGCTTGTATTTCGATGTAAAATATGAGAGGCGAAAGAAATCTGCTTAGAACAGAGATATATTTTGCTTAATCTCTTTTAACGCTAAGACATTATGCTTATTGTTGTAAAGTGAGAAGTAATAGTGTTGGGGTTGTTAGATCCCCAAAATTCGCTTGATAATGCCGTATTTTGGTTTTCACGTTTTGCCAGCATGGGCTGATCATATGACCTTGAGATTTCAATTCCCACCAGGAAAATACATGTCTGTGATTGGCTGCTGTGTATTTTAGTGTGCTATTTTCTTAACTGTCTCAAGGACGTTCCTATGTTGTATAAATAAACGAGAGTTGTATGCTTGATTGTACTGTGATTGCTGGGTGTTTGTAGAATATACTTTCTACACTTACAAAGCCTTTTTTTCTTCAGCTTGGGATTCAAGGTAGCCTACCTGGGCTCTGCTGCATTGTCTCGTTCGCGTTTATCGACTAAGGTAAACTCGTAATAGCCTCAAGCATACTAAGTGACGAACTTATCAAATAGCACTAGTAACATTAGCTGAAGTCTTTGTCGATATAAATGAAACCTCTGCAATTGGATGAGTACTACAGAGATATAAATCTGCAATTACGATGATAGGGTTGAATCAATCTTTTGAAGGAGTTGGAAGAATTATTGAAATCGATGGAACTGTCGTTAGAAAACGAAAATTCAATAGAGGAAGATGTTTTTTGAGAGAAGACTGGGTAAGTAGCAGCTCCTTAAGTATACTTAGCAGATGCTTGCTATTTATGACAGGTCAACGTAAAAAAAGGACATTTTCAGGAAGTCCGAAATTGACATGATACAACACTGATACTAGCCGAATGGGAGTATGTGCGGCCAGGTATCGCAGTATACAAGGAAAACTGTAACGAGCATAGATGTCTATCTAGACTTGGTTAGGTCCACCGGAGGCACCAGAAGGCATTTTGTAGACTCCACTATAGTAGTGCAGACTAACAATATAGAAGCCATGTGATCTAGGCTAATAATTTTTGAGACCTTACTATGGCTCCATAGGTCGTTTGTTGCAGAGTCATATGGATGAGTTCTTGTACCATATGCATCACAAGTTCAGAACTGTAGAGCCTCTTTTCAACAAGTGCGAGTTTTTAAACCGAATTAAATAAATATATCCACTCCATTTTTTTGGTTTTGGTATGATAAATTCTTACTCTGTGTCAATGATATGCTTGAATTCTATTACAAGTTCACCTTATTCGGTAAACAGAACGAAAGCAATGACTCAGTGACACGATAGGCTGTTCTAATCCGTTTGTCCCAGCCCCGGTTAACTGTATCAAGAAGTCTTGATAAGGCGTAGAAAGTATATTCTACAAGAACCCAGAAATACGAGGTGTCTAAGCACACAAATCACTCTTATTTACACATGATGGAGACGCCCTTGGTAAGAGCCACAAAGTAGTGTACTAAAATAATCCACCAACCAAAGATAGTCAAGGATTTTCCGGTGGGGAGGAATGTGAGCTGAAGGTCAACCGGTGCGAAAACATGGAAATTCAAACTTTCAGAATCAAATTACAAAACGAGGACCTTTCCAAGAGAGTTCTAGGGATCTAACATCCCCGACAATCAAATATTTTCTGACTGACTGAAATTTCTCATGGTAGTTCGATAGTCGTCGATTGGTCGGTCGTCCAATAATTCTAGTCTCGCCTCATTTGACAGCTCTTTCGTCGCAATGAATAAAACATAATTTTCGCTTTTACAGATACGTAAATAATGGTATTTATAAGTCACTGACATGAGAACGTGAAAATATTTTCACGTATTCACGTGTGTTTTTTTACTTAGTCCGTAGTTAACAGTGAAATCTTTGATCCTCTTTTCGACCTATTCGAAACTTACCTACTGGATATATATTTGTATTCAGTGTTAATGTTCACCATTGGACTCGAATTCAACTAATGAGTTCAGGTAGCCGACATGAAGTTATTTTAGTGAAAATTTGTACTCACTCATTGTTGTTGATATTAAGGACTGTAGGTGACCAGTCCCTAATTCCAGTAATAAGTCCTGTATGTATTATCTTGATATAGCTATTGAATTACAAAGTTTTCAGTATATTAAAATATTGAACATTTACATACACTGATGCAATATAACAAGTTTAAAAATCACCAGTGTGTAATATATGTATATGAATTTCATTAGTGTACAGAGGAATTAGTTTGGCCTAGTTAATATGATCTATTTTCCCGTGAACGGTGTAAAACGTCTTGCTGTGGTGTGAGCTACTTATAAGTAGTATAAGACGTGGGTGTCAACGTCATGTCTGGCAGCAGAACATGGGGGAAGATCAAGAAAGGAAGAGTTAGAACACAATGGAATTTGTATGAAACGCATGAATAGTGACCATAATGGATTGATGTTTTGCAACAGGAACAGTCCAGTTTGATATGATGAACTGATATTTTGCAAATGAACGATTTACGATATGGTTTTCCTATTTTACAGAGTAACTTTGTAATTTTCGTTGAGTACAATTCAGTTGCCCCACCTGTGTTCTCCTTCACTACATTGCCACTAAAATATAAACCATAGCTGAATTACTTAGATTATTACAAAATATCTTGTACAATATGATAACATGATAAGTTTTTTGTAGACCACTCACCAGTTAATAAGATTAAGGTTTTACTAACAAGCTCGCTTATCACCTATCGTATCAGTTTATTGATCAGTTATAATATTCAATTAGAAAAACAGACTTTTATAGTACATTTTTGAATGTACATTTCCTAAAGAAGCTTAGTTTAACATGAACACTATCCATAGTGGCTATAAAAGAGAACATGATTCGTTCGGACACAAAGTATCTTCATAAATATCTGACTCATTTGAAAATCTTGAGAATACTTAATGACTTTCAAACTGCTGTCTAGGTAAATTAGATACGTGTTTTACCCAGTTGATATTAAAATAAGTGATTTGGGTAAATAACGGTTCTAATATTCATCATAAATATAAATGTACATCATTACACCTAAACAAATATCACCATTCAGTTATTTCACCAACAATTGTTCAATCAATCAAATCAACAGCAACAAATAAATGCTATTCTATCCCTCCTGGATAATAGATAAGATTCGTTCAAAAGATAATATTTGGAAGTGTGTTTCAATTCACAGTCGAAATGCACAATTCCAGTCGAATCAAGCAACCGACACATAATCAGAAGACTAATTATCAGCTAAACACAACATCAATGCAGTTCAGAAAGAAACATAGAAACTCAATGAAAGCAAAAGAAATAGAAAATATCATAAAATACAAATATTATCATCATCTCAAGATGGAATCGAACAGAATCGAACAAAATGTACAACTGAAGGAAAAATCAGTAAGAACAAATTACAAATGCACATACATGGAGGGATTTTCACAAACAAAGACTTCAAAAAATAGGATCTTACACTAATTGCTAAACAAATAAAAGTTTATATTTATGTACTTAACTCTATGGTAACCAAGGAATTCTACAAGTTGAAATTCCTTATTAAATTCCATCTTAGCTTATCTCATCCAAAAGAATTAGAACACAATGGAATTTGTATGAAACGCATGAATAGTGACCATAAT